ACTGTAATTACACACAGCTGTGAGCTGCCATGTGGGTGCTGGGAATTGAACTCAGGTCCTCTGGAAGAGCAGCCAGTGCTCTTAACCTCTGAGCCATCTCTCCAGCCTGCCTACGTATATTTTTAAACACATTGTAAATCTTTAGAGTTTTTTTACCTCTGAATCTGTCTTTACTGTATATCTTTTTCTGACCACATGAGTCTCTTATCTACTATACAGCATTGCTAAAATTAAGGTGGCAGCTAGCCTCATCTATTCCTTGGCTTTCTGAGAGTCTAGCTTCATGCTTATTGCCACAACTCTGGAGTTTCTAGGTTCATGCTACCATGAAGAAGTATGCTGCCAGCTGCTCATAAACACTATTAATTTTTGATATCAGAGCTCTGCACTTTTTGCTGCTAATGCTGAGTCAAGAGTCCTCTCTTAAAAGAGCCGAGAGCCTCTGCTTGTCTGTAGGAAACAAAGCCCACCTGAGAAAATGCTGCTACCAAGAAGCTGTGCTTGCCTCTGTTCTTGTGTTTTTAGAATCCTTTTTTAATCCTTTGTCAGGTTTTGCTTGGAAATTCTTGCAGCAAGTCTGGGCGCCATTTGAAGATGGAGGTTTCTGTCCCGCCAGGACCCACTGCCTTTCAGCCCCCAAATAAACACACAGAGACATATTGATTATTAAACTGTTGGCCAATGGCTAGGGCTTCTTACTGGCTAGCTCTCTCTTAATTTTTAACCCATTTCTATTAATCTAAGTGTTTCCACGTGACTTATCTTACTGGAGAAGGGTCTGGACCTGTTATTCCTTCCTCTACTGCATGGCATGTCATTTTTTTGCCTTCCTCTCAGCCTTCTCCTGGTCTGATAGCACCACCTATGCTTTCTGCCTGGCTATTGGCCAAACTGTTTTATTCATCAACCAATAAGAGAAACATATATACAGAAGGACATCCCCTATCAACTAACCCTGGCCCAAAACAAACAAACTTTGATTTAGGAAGCAGACTGCCTAGTGAGATTCCTGGCTCACTGTTGTGCATTGTTGGTAGAGGGCCACTCTCTCTCCTGAACTGTCCCTAGGACTACTTTCCTTGATGTCGAACCTGCACTGAGCTCTCCAACCTTCACAGGTTCTCAGGTTTTCCCACCCGCTGCCCCAGGCCTGCAGCTGGTCTCCACCTGTACACCAGGCCTCAGGCCACAGCTGCTGAGAAGGCGGGGCTCTGGGGCTTCCTGTGGCCAAGGAGAGATGAAGTTGCGTTTTCTCCTTGACTTGTGTACACCTTTGTCTCCACATCTGAGAATCCCAGGACCTTTCACTGACCGGATTCAGTAGTTGACACCTTGGTTCATGGTTTGTTCTACTGTGTTTTCTGTCTGTGCCTTGAAGAAGCTTCCTATCATTCCTTCAGGCCTTCCTCAGGTAGACTCCACCAGGTAACTGTTCAGGGAGGTTGGGAACACTGTTCTCTGAGTCTTGCCCTGCAGCTGTGGTGGCCCTTTTCCTGTCTCAGCATGGAATCCTAGAAGTCAACTAGCATCTTCAGGCCTCCATAACAAGGGTGTTCTTTCTGGGGCTTACTCCTTTATTAAGAGTCCACTCTATTAAGAATCAGGCATTGGTGGCACACACCTTTAGGCCCAGCACTTGGGAGGTAGAGGAAGGTGGTTCTCTGAGTTCTAGGACAGCTTGGTCTACATAGTGAGGTCCAGGACAGCCAGGGCTACACAGAATCCTGTCTCAAAAACAAAACAAAACAAAAAAAACCAATCCACTTGCCTCAGTAGAGGATTAGTTCTGGCTGTGGTAGATTTTCTCCTACTGGGACTGTGACCTTCCAGCTTTTCGGCTCTGCATGTACTATACACACTGCAGTGCTGACAACTGTGGAACAGTGACCTAAACGCAGGCAGCTGTAGCTGCGCTCATTTGAGAGCCTGCAGTGGATACCTTGGAGAACCAGGACATGTCCCGGATTGCTCAGCAGTAGTTGAGAAAGCCTCGTGGGTGTTTGTGTGTCATCAACACTTCTGGGGCTGGGATATGGCTCATCTGGTCTAATGTCTAGCATGAGTGAAACCTGGGGTTTAATCAGCAGCACCACACAAACCAGGAGTGGTGGCTCATACCCACAGTCCCAGCACTCAGGAGGACAGAAGTTCAAGGTCATTCTCAGTTACATAGTGACTTTGAAGCTAGCCTGGGCTGCATGAGGTTCTGTCTCAAAACCTATAGGAAGGAAAGAAGCAGAGCTTCTTTGAAGTTCCCATACCTTGAGAGGACCAATCCCAATCAGTGTGGAGGCCAACCTCAAGTTGTTATACTACAACTAGTGCTCTCCACTGAGCAGCCCCAGGGGAGGCAGGGGCTTGGCGCAGACAGGCAGGGAAGAAGAAAGTATGCCGAGGTGTTGGACCTCACTGGGGTCCCCACCCACAGTGTTGCTGTAACTGGCCTTTCTAGGTGGGTAGTGCCTGTGTCCCGTGGGTGGAATGTCAAGTCTGGAGTCATTTAGTTAACATCAGAAAAGATTTGACTGTTTGCCGTGTGCTGACTGGTAGTTAGCACACAGTGAGATAATTAACAAGCCCGTGAGGCCACGATGATAGGCAAGGCTCAGTCGGTAGAGTACATGGTTAGCATGCACGAAGCCTTGGGTCTGATCCCTGCACCACGTAAAACCAGGGATAGTGGTGGATACCTGAAGTCCTAATAGTCCAGAAAGTGAGGCAGGAGCACCAAAGGTTTGAAGTCATTCTTGTTTATGTAGCAAATTTGTGTCTATCCTGGGCTACATGAGTCTCAGTTTCAAAAACAACCCAGAAAATCACTTAAGTCCCTGGATACAATAACAGTGCAACAACCAGCAGTTATCTGCAGGCATCATCCAATGTTCTCTGTAGGCAGATGCTCTCCCAGGTGGCAACTCATGACGGGAGGGAGCACACTGCACACACAGTGCAGACTTTGGAGAGAGCTTAGTTGTACCAGAGGAGAGGGGAATTTGTGGAAGCTTCCAGAAGGGAAGGGCAGAGGGCCATGCTGGGACAGGTCTCCCTCTCGTTGGACATGTAGTCAGAGCTGAGTGGGAAGGAGAGGAGAAAGGATGCTGGAGAGGGGAGGGGTGTAGTCAGGGAGAGGTGACTGACTGTCCCAGTGTGGCAGGAGAGCCTGAGGAAGACGACTTATTGGGAGTGAGGAGCTTTATTGGGGGAACCTGGAATGGCTGTTTTTAGCGATTCTTAACGACTTGTATTTGGGGTGTGTGCATTGACATTTAGCAACTCCGTGTCCTCACTTGGCCCAGCTGACTTCCTCCCTCCTGTCCTGCTGCCTTTAGTGTGTGAGATGATGTTAGGTGAGTGGATGATCTCAGACTTGTTTTTGAACATCTTATTAAGCTCATAATAGGAATAGGTAATTTTTTCAGTTAAACCAGCCAAGGATTAAAATGTGAAGACTGCACGGAGTATAGTTAGCCTGCTTGCCTTGTACTTGCAAGGTCTTGGGTTCAGACCCCAGGACCACAAAAACTATCAACACATATATAGTCATGAGGCATTTAGAAATGAGGCTTGGCCAGGCAGTGATGATGCACACCTTTAATTCCAGCCCTTGGAGGCAGAAGTAGGTGGATCTCTTGAGTTCAAGTTCAGCCTGTTCTACAAAGCAAGTTCTAGGACAGCCAAGGCTACACAGAGGAACTCTTGTCTGGGGGGGGGACAAAAGAAAGAAAATGAGACAGGGTGAGAGGGAGGAAGGAAAGAAGGAAGGAAGGAAAGAAGGAAGGGGGCTTGACATCTCCAAGGTGGGATCTGTGGTCTATAAACTTGGCAGAGAGAAGCAGTCAGTACCAGAGTCACTGGTATTGGTGGTGGCTCTGGAGCAACTCTTGGAAGTCAGTCTTCATTTATCCATCAAGTGCTGTTGGTGTCTCTGGATGTCCAGGGTTGGGATATGAGAGTGACATACTTTCAGAAGCTCCTAAAGGAGATAGAGTCCCACTGTGTCCCTCACTGGCTTCAGGAACTGATGCCACGTGACAGGCTTGGTTCCTTTCTTTGCTTAGTTAGGTTTTCTCTCTGAGGTCTGTTGATTCCACCCTCTTCTCTTCTCTTTCTTTCCCTTTGCAAACTGAGGTGCTAGGCAAACAGTCTTCCATTTAGCTATGCCTGCCCTCTTCTCTCCAAGTCCTTTGAAGCCAGTTCCAAACACTGTCTCACCAATATGTAAAATACCCACATCTAACAGAGGTTTAAGAAATAAACACAGCCCTCAAACAAATCAATAAGCAGGAATCCCTGACACCAGTTAAGCCTGTGTTCATAGTTCTCAAAGTCTCAATTTTCTTTGACATTTGGTTTTTGTTGTCATACACATGCTTCATGTTGTATTTCTTATTCCTCTATATTCCTCGTATTTAATCTGGCAGCGTCCATGGTGGAAAAAAAATGATGTATACTTGCACACACAACAAGTTAGATGGGACTATCACTGTCAATAAAGGACATGGTGAACTGGCCTGTGGACAGAATGAAGGGGTGAGGTGAAAGGGAGTTGTAAATCTTTTCCTTTTTTAAAATTTATTTATTTAATGTGCATTGGTGTTTTGCCTGCATGTATGTCTGTGTGATGGTGCCAGACTTCCTAGAACTGGAGTTAGAAACAGTTAATGAGCTGCCATGTGGGTGCTGGGAATTGAACCTGGACACTCTGAAAGAGAAGCCAGTGCTCTTAACCACTAAGCCATCTCTCCAGCCCCTGTAAGTTTTTCCTTTTCCTTTTTCTTTTTTTTCCAAGACAGGGTTTCTCAGTGTAGCCGTGGCTGTTCTGGAACTCCCCCTGTAGATCAGGCTGGCCAGGAACTCCCTCTGTAGACCAGGATGGCCTTGGAGGCCCCTCTTGCACCAAACACTTTGCAAATGGCTGTTTGTGTGCTGTTAGACGGGGTGAGGGTTAATGCATGCTGTCAGGTTTAACACAGTCTGTTTGCTCCTGTCTTTCCCCTCAGGCCTCAACCATGTTACGAGCCTCCTTGGTACCTGAGTAAGTAATCATTCTTAGGAGTTTTTGTTAATTATGTTATAAAGTTTTTTTTTTATTTTATGTGTATGAGTGCTTTGTCTGTACATCGCCTGCGTGCCTGGTGTCTACAGATGCTGGGAGATGGCATTGGATTCCCTGGAACTGGAGTTACGTGTGACTGTGATCTACCATGTGGATGCTGGGAACCAAATGCAGGCTTTCTGGAAGAACAGCCAGTGCTCTTAACCAAAGCCATCTCTCCAGCTCTGCATTTATATTTATATGTGAAACTGGAACTCAAGATAGTTTTACTAGATATTCATCTAAATATGAATATGAAAGGAAATACCAATGATTATAAATAATGCTAAACTAGCATTATCTTTTAACATTTATTCTTGTAAGGCAGCATGAAATAGCAAAAATACTTTGGCTTGATACTGTGATATTCTCTAGAAATGAATTCTGTACTATCATTCCACAGTCAGCAGACGTTGCAGTGTCAAGTTCAGTACCGTCTGCTAGCTCACTGCAACCAGGTCCTCAGGATAGCCTTGCCTGTGTCCAAGCATCCCAGTTCAGATGAGTTAGGCTGACATCACGGAGGTGTGTGACGTGTGTGTCATCAGCTGTGTGGCAGTAGTGAGGGAGTAGAAAGCTTGAACCTGGCCATAAGAACTACAGTAGGTTCTGCTTATCCTCTAAGCCAGGGTGGGGTGGGTGGGGTGAGGGACTATGAGCTGACTCACCCAGAGATGGCTGCAGTCGGTGGCCTGCTCTGCTCCCCTGCCTGGGTCTCCCTGGCCTTAGCGCTATGCATTCAGCTGCCACTTGGTGGCAGTACAGTGTGATTCTTACAAGCATGGATTGCCTGGTTAAAAACCCACCTCTGCCAGCAGTTGTGGCACTTGGACCACTCACTGTGTCTCTGTGCCTAACTTGTTCCCTATAAGAAGAGAAGCGTGGGGGTTCGTGCTGCAGGCTGAGGATGAGTGTGGGGAGGAGACTGCACCAGTACACTGCTGAACAGTAGTCGCAAGGCTAGCATTCCTAATGACGTCAGGTCGGGGCCACCCACAAGAAGACAAAAGGGGTGGTTTTGTGGAAGGTGTTAAGAGGACATAGGAGGAAGCATGACCCTTTTTCTTTCTTTCTTTTCTTTTTTTTTTTTTTTGGTTTTTACGAGACAGGGTTTCTCTGTATTGTTTAGGAGGCTATCGGTCCAGCCCTGCCTCGAACTCACAGAGATCTGCCTGCCTCTGCCTCCCGAGTGCTGGGATTAAAGGCGTGCGCCACCACCGCCACCACCGCCCGGCGACCCTTTTTCTTGGTCAGTAGACTAATACTGGACCCCTTGGTAATAGCCCTTGTGGGTAATTGTGGCAGTGTGATAAAGCCAAATAGAGATGTTCTTTCCTTTCAGAGGAAGCCCTGGCAGCACAGCAGAACCAAACTGGGCTTGCAGCATTTTTCCTGAGAATGAGGACCTATTTACACTTTCTCTGCGTAGCCCTGGCTGTTCTGGAACTCACTCTGTAGACTAGTCTGGCCCCAAACTCAGAGATCCACTTGCCTCTGCCTCCCAAGTGCTGGAATTAAAGGCATGTGCCACCACTACCCAGTTTATACTTAAAACTTTTAAATTGATGATATTATTATTATTATTATATAGCCTAGGCTGGGCTGGAATTTACGATGAGTCCAGGCTAGCCTCAGACTTGTAGTAATACTCCTGCCTCAGCTTCCAAGTTCTGTAATTATAAGTATCAGCCTCCATAACCAGTATGTTAAATAATTTTGAGATGTAAATAGATTATTACAAAAAATTCTTTTTTCAAAATTCTCTTTTGAAAATGTCTTTATGTGTGTGTATGGGTGTGTTCCAGTTTGCCTGTATGTACACCACATGCACAAAGTGCTTTCAGAGACCAGAAGACTGTACCGAGTCTCCTGAAATTGTAGTTACAGATGGTTTTGAGCTGCCATGTTGGTGCTAGGAATAGAACCTGGGTCCTCTGCAAGAGCAGCCAGTGCCTTTAACTGCTGAGCCACCTCTCCAGTTCCCCAAGATCTCCCAGTGCTAATATTTTATACAAGCCTTCTACAGTTAGCAAAGTCAAGAAGTCAGTATGGGTGTAGGGAGTTGGACTTAAGTGACACAGCCTGTAATCATTGCACTTGGGAGGCTGAGGTGGGACAGTTAGTCTTGGCCACACAGACCCTGTTTGAGCACTAAAACAAAACCGAAACCTAGTATGTAATTTTTTTCTTATTATAGAAAATTTGCATGCCATCGAAATCTAAGAAGAAATAAATTTAGACTACACAAAGTCCACCCATCAGGCAGGGCTGAGCTGGCTGAGCTGGGTGGGGGCCTGCACACTGGCTCCCAGGGGAAGGCTCTGTCTATTCTGGGAGCCCACAGTTGGGGTGGCATTTGGGCCACTGCTGGCTCCTTCAGTCTAAGTAGATATCTTGATGCTCGGGAGATGGAATGACATGCCCCTTTGCCCTTTTTCTTGTCTTTGAACTTGCAATGCTGAGTAGGAAGTTGAAGGATGTCCCATTACTGCCCTCCCTGGATTATGAGAAACTGAAGAAGGATTTGATTTGGGGCAGTGACCGCTTGAAAGCCTTCTTGTTGCAGGCTCTGCGCTGGGTAGGTATCTTCCCCTTGAAGTTAAAAACAAACAACAGAGAAAACTCCAGCACTGCTTTTCTTGGCTGGCTACCTGCTAACTTGGCTGGTACCTTGTAACCCTTTGTTAAAATTCCTTCCTGCTACCTGCCACCAAGGCCTGAGGTTAAAAACTGCTCCAGCCATGTGTGGGAGTACATGCCTTTACTCCCAGCTTACAGAAGGCAGGGGTAGGTACAGTTATGTAAGTTCAAGGCCAGCCTGGGCTACATAGCAGGATTCAGATCAGCCGGGGCTATATAGTGAGGCCCTACCCCCACCCCAGCAAGAAAATCAGAGTAGACTCTGACCTTGCTCTAAAGCACTGTGCGCTGAAATCACTGTTGCCATCGTGTGTAATGTGGCAGCTGCGCCTGCCAGTCAGCCTCTACCTGGTCAGGTGCCTCATTCAGCTTGGAGCCTGCATGTTAGAGCATGTAACCAAGCTCAGTTCCAACTCCAGAGACCCTAGTACAAGACTGACCCGTTAGCCACACTGGGTTGGTCTCAGGACAAACACTGATGGGCCTCGCGTCTGGATTCCGATCCTCTTCATTCTTTAGGTTGGCCTGTTGCAGCCAGTGATTGGTTTTCAAGTATTCCAGACCCCTCTACATTCTTAAAAATTATTAAGAACTCCAAAGAGTTTTGTTTGTATGGATTTTATCTTAACAGTACTTACAGTAAGAGAAAATTAGAACAGAAAACTTAAGAATTTGTCATTCTCTATAAAATAAACAAATGACTCATTCACATGGAAGAGTTTTGGGGATGCCCAGAGTTCTCTGAACTACACTTTGAGAATTACTGACCAAAGTCCTCATTGGTGCTTAGCATCTGTAGTGCCCCGTGGACTGTGCCTCATTGGGAACTGTGAGGAATACCTGGGGGCCCAAGGGGAGAGCCCTGTGGTACCTGCTGTGGTTTGTGGGGACCTGTTGACCAGGGTGGGTGGGAGCCTTGAGTGATCGTCAAGGGCTGCCCCAACCCTGGTTTGCTTGTGTCTGGTCATATCACCACACTCACCCTGCTTGCCTGAGTGGCTACCCAGCTCTACTGACTCAGTCAGTCTACTCTCTAGGCCTCTTGCTGGGACTGGGCCTCCCTCTATACAGAAAACAGGCACTTTCACCAGATAATCAGGGAGGCCTGCAGGTGTTCAGTGGCTTTGCCTATGTTCTTCTCCAGAGCCCCATCCAGCCTCTTGGTTCCACAGGAATTCCTCCTTGTGACATTCTTGGCCCAATCTTTTAGCAGCCCCCTCTGGAGGCCTGTCCTTCCTCCTGTCGGTTGGTCTGTTGGCTCTGGCCAGGCCTTTGTCCATGCTGCAAACCAGGATATTCCGAACACAGAAGCAGGTGTTTATTTAGGCTTTTCTGGAAAAGTAAGCACATGTGCACATTTGTCAGGCACACAGCTTTCTCCTGTCCTAACAAACGGTACACTGCCAAGGGCACCTGTACACCACACATATTTCCACCAGAACTTCTCTTATTCCCTTGTGGATATCACACAAATTCATATGGCAACATAACAGGTTTAATGGCTTGCCAAATTTCAACCAGTAGCCAACCTCTCTCCCATCTGCCTCCCCACCCCATTGCTCATCAGTCCCTATAGGGTAGGGCCCTCGAGAGCCTTCTACAGGTATCCTGGGCCCCACTCTGAGCTAGACGCCCCCCTTACATACACACTCACCTTCCTCCCTGCTGGTTGGCCATCTGCTCACTCTTCAGGGCCTAGCTCTTGCCTCTGTAGGAGTTTGTTACTTTGGTTTTTCTTTGCAGCGCTTGACCACGTCGCATCCGGGAGAGCAGAGGGAGACAGTCCTACAAGCCTATATCAGCAATGACCTCTTGGATTGTCACAGCCACAACCAGGTCAGTATCAGGTGGCCAGGGCCTTCTGAGGTAGGGAACACTTAGCAGACTTGAGACTTTGGTTTCTCTGGACACTGTTAGTGTGCTGACCTTGCAGTAAGTATATGCTTATCACCTGCTTGAGGTCTGTGTTCACCTCTTGACCTACTTTCTTCTGTTCTGGAGAGTCCCAAGCAAGCCTGGTGGCTGATAGGCTCTGCAGCTCTCTTGTTAGTTCCCCTCCCCTTCTTCCCTCCTCCCACTTGAATTGTGCTTCATTTTCAGGGTTCAAAGTTGACGTGTTACAATAGTGATTTTTGTCTAAAAGCTATAATCTCTGTAGCCCTTGCTAGCTATAGTTCCTTCAAATCCACTGTGGTACTTGTTTTCTTGTTTGTTTTGTTTTGGTGGTCGTGGTGTTTATGCTTGGGACTCACACTGTCCATCTGTCTTCAAATTTACTGTGTGGGTGGAAGATGACCTTGAACTTCTGAACTTCCTGCCTCTACAACCTCCTGAACCCGGGGATTATAGGCTTGGTCCTAGGGATCAAACTCAGGGCTTCATGCTTATTAAACAAGCACTCTACCAACAGAATTCCTCCCCAGCCCCGTTTTGTTTCTATGAAAGAATGACTGGTGTCCTTTAGAGATACCAGACAACTTTCAGGGTAGGAAGACTCCTTGGTAATGCCGACGCTGGGCCACCGAGACTCTGAAATGGGTTGGCCTCGTAGAAAGGGAAATTGAGCTAGTTGGCTAACTCATGTCAAATTGTACACATCTGACAGTTCTAGCTCTTTAGCATTATGTGTGCATTTGAAGAGCATACTTCCTTAATCCAGGGACTATTAGCTTCCAAATTCATAGTTGCACTTACTATTTACAAAAATGAATATACAACCTGACTGTTGTCTCTCAATGTTGTTCTCTGCAGAGGAGCGTGCTGCAGCTGTTGCACTCCAAGAGCGAGGCTGTGCGGCAGTACATGGCCAGACTCATCAATGCCCTGGCGTCCCTGGCTGAAGGTGAGGCGACATTTTCCCTCCAAGCCACATGGCATCCCTGTGAAATTAGGGTTTTCCAGTGTGGCTTAAAGTAGCCCAGGTCTCCTCATTTAATTTCCGTTCTTCTTTTGTGAACATTAGTTCTTAAGAAAATTGCCTGAGTTTCTGTCAGAGCAAATTTTCTTGCCTCTTATTTAAATTGTTTATAACTGCTTAGTAGGTAATACTTTTTCTATAATTCCTACTTGCCAAAATAAGTTTGGTGAGAAAAATTGTTCTTTTAAGATAATGTTTCATATTAGCATATTTGAGCAAACACTGCATCGTTTTCTATGGTCTTTAAAGGATTTGAAAATTTTGGAAATAATAGATACTGTAGCTGAATTAAAAGTCAGTTTTTTGGTTTTGTTTTTTTTGTGGCTTTTTTGTCTGTTTGTTTGTTTGTTTTTCGAGACAGGGTTTCTCTGTGGCTTTGGAGTCTGTCCTGGAACTAGCTCTTGTAGACCAGGCTGGTCTCGAACTCACAGAGATCTGCCTGCCTCTGCCTCCCAAGTGCTAGGATTAAAGGCGTGTGCCACCAACGCCCGGCAAAAGTCAGTTTTATACAGGGCCATTTTCAGGGCAGGTGAAATGGCTCAGCTAGTAAAAGTTGCTGTGTGTGCCTGATGACCTGAGTTTGACCCCCAGAACCCACTAACAGGTCAGATGTGGATCCCAGCATCCTGAGGGGGAGATGGGAGTTGGAGACAGAATTGTTTGTGGGACAGCCAGCCTGGAGAATGCAGCACAGCGGCTGCTTCATAATAAGGTGGAAGGAAGGAAGGAACTGACCTTGAAAATTGTCCTGTGACCTGCATGTGTATGTCACACCATCCACACTCCATAGTTACAGATGTACACCTCACACACCATACACACTCAGGATAATTTCCTTACATCCTTATTTGTTTGAGATTTTTGTTGTTGTTATTTTGTTTTTTAGTTATTGTTGAAACTAGGCCTATGTAGCTCAGGCTGGCCTTGGCCTCACAGCCATCTGCCTCTGCCTCTGAGTGCTGGGATTGTACGCCCCCACACTCAGCCCCATTTGAGGTATTTTTTTTAATGTGAATAAAAAGAGTGTTCAAGATGTGAATATGTGATATTCAACATGTTTAATTCATTATCCCACTCATTTGGCAAACACTTGTTATAAGCCCGTGTATGCACTGAGAAGCAGCTACCTAATAATCCTGTTTAAGTTAGTATCTGTCAGTGCAGACATCTATAAAAGGTTAGTAGTGACTCTGCACTTATTTAGGTGTTCTAGACACTGCCCTACCTCCATCGGTCCCTGAGCATGTCCAAAAGGGGCAGAGGAGTGTGGCAGAAGCAGTTCTTGATTCCTCACAGCATAGCTCCACTCCTCTTCTCCTTGTCCCCAGACGGTGGTGGTGGCTTACGTTCAGCCTACAGGAGGAAAGGGTTTCTATTGGTTAGGTGATTGCTTGAGTAAATTTCCGTTTTGAGACAGGATCCCCCTATGTAGGTACTATCCTGGCCACGAACTCGCACTCCTCCTGCCGTGGCTCCCCTAGTACTGAGACTTCAGGCTGTACCACCACACCTGGCTCAGAAAAAGAGATACACTTTAATAATTTCTTCTAGAACTTTCTAGTGTATCCTATGCAAATCTGCACTTGAAAATGGCTTGGTGCACACTAATTAGCAGACTAATTACATCCTTCCCATTTTCATCTCTGGCACATCTCTAGGTCGACTCTATCTAGCCCAGAACAATAAGGTGCTGCGGATGCTCGAAGGAAGGCTGAAGGAGGAAGACAAGGATGTCATCACTCGTGAGAATGTCCTTGGGGCCTTGCAGAAGTTCAGTCTCAGGTGAGGACCTTGCCATGGGTCAGTCTCTGCCTTTGAGCTCAGGCTGGTGTATGTGAGTGTGCCATTGCCTTCCCCTTGCTAGTATCAGGTCTTCAGTGCCAGCCAGGTGCTTGGTGTAAGGGTAAACACACATAGTGAAGTTGTCCCCGTTATAGCGAGTGTGACCAGCCTTGCTCCTTGTGCACATCCCAGAAGCCCACCCAGAGTTTGGCCTGGTCCTGGCATGACTTGGAAGTGCTACATTAGAACTTAAAAGTCATCTTCTTTTGTTTTTTAAGTATTTCTTTTTGAACTTATGTTATGTATATGAGCGTTTTCCCTGCATGTATGTATGTGCACCATGTGCATGCCTGGTGCCCCAGAGGTCAGAGAGGGTGTTGTATCCCTGGCACTGGAGTTACAGATGACTGTGTGCTACCATGTAGTTGCTGGGAACTGAGCCAGAGTTTGTGAAAGAGCAGCAGGTGCTCTTAACCACTGAGCCGTCTATCCAGCCCTTCGTGTTGTTTTTTCGAAACAGATCTAGTGTCTTAGAACTTTTTACAAACAACAGCTTAGCTGGGCATGATAGTATTTGCCTTTAATCTCAGCAATTGGGAGGCAGAGGCAGATGGAGCTCTAATAAGTTCAAAATCAGCCTGATCTACATAGTTTCTACATAGTTTTCTACCTTGTTTTAAAAAAAATGTTTGTTTTTGTACATGAGTGTTTTTGCTTGTGTGTATGTATGTGCAATGTGTATGCCTGGTGACACACATGTTAGCGATAAGAAGAGGGCTTCTAATCCCCTGGAACAGGAGTTACACATATGGTTCTGAGCCATGATGTGGGTGCTGATAAATGCATCTAGGTTCTCTGCAAAAGCAACAAGTGTTTTTAACTGCTGAGCCGTCTTTCCAACCCCAGAAGTCACCATCATAAATGGACAAGTCTGGTTTTCACAGATTTGCAGAGTTCTTCAGCCATCACAACCTGACTGTAGAACCTATTTCCCATTTATTTATTTATTTATTTATTTATTTACATGTGTGTATTGTGGAGGTCAGCGGATGATTTGTAGGGATTAGTTCTCTCTTTCCACCATGTCCTAGGGATCAAACTTAGGCTGTCAGGCTTGGCTGCAGTGCCCTTACATGGAGCTATCTCACCAGTCCTAATTTCAGAGCATTTCTGTCTCTCAGAAACAAGTCTCATACTAATTGTTGCTACCCTTCATTCTATCCTCACCCCTAGACAGCCTCCCACGGCTCTTCTGTAGCTCTGTCTTGTGTAAATTCAGCACATGAAATCATGTGAGATGAGCCCCTCAAAGTAGTATTTCTGTGACCTGTTGCATGGGCCAAGTAAGCCAAAGCTATCAATGACATTTTCATATTTGATGTAGAAGTCTGCTAAGGAGACTTTCAAAGTGGGAGACCCTTCTTACTGCTCTGTCGTTCTTAAAACTATTGTGTCCTTAAAGGTCAAGAATTTTTGTTGTCCCAGTTGAATGGGCTTAACAACAGGATGTTCCCCAGAGTCTGTCTTTTTTTTTTTCCAAGACAGGGTTTCTCTGTGTAACAGCTCTGGTTGTCCTGGAATTCACTTTGTAGACCAGGCTGGCCTCAAATTCACTGAGATCCTCCTGCCTCTGCCTCCCAGGTGCTGGGATTAAAGGCCTGCACCACCACCACCTGGCTGAGTCTCTTTCATAGCTCTGTGTGATTTGCACCATGGTATAATCTTCCATAGAAAGTCCCTTACCAGTTAATTGATGTAATAAGGTTGTTCCCTCTTAGGCGCCCACTGCAGACGGCAATGATTCGAGATGGCCTCATCTTCTGGCTGATCGACCTTCTGAAGGACCCTGACTGCCTGTCTGACTACACACTGGAGTACTCTGTGGCTTTGCTCATGAACCTCTGCCTCCGCAGTGCAGGTGTCACAGCCCTCCAACCCTCCATACACGCACACACCCAGATATACATACCCTGGTATGGAGGATGGCTGGGCAGAGACCCGCCCACAAAACTGTATTCCCAGTGAGCCAGGTAGAGCTTGCTTTTTGTCTCCCTTATGGATAACTTAGGACAGGGGTGAGTAAAGCATTTCTAGCTAGGTATGAAGCTAGCAAGCCCTTCAAGCCAAAATACCATGTTACCTTTGGAAAGAATCTGTGTGCAGTCCTGTGGTACAAAGTGCCCTTCTGAAGAGGAGAGTAAATTCAGTCACATTTCTTTCATCTTTGTTGCACTTTTCAAAGATAGGAAGTTAAGAGTTATGATCCCTGTTACTGAAGACAGAGGCATGCTCCCTACATCCTCTGGGATTAAGTTGGTGACTTAATGGAAATTCGCAGGGGCACTGAAGGCTGCTTCTTACCTACTGGGAATGTATCTCAGTTGACAGAAATGCTTGCCTGGCATGCATAAACCCCTAGTTCGATCCCCAATACCATGTAAACTAGGCATGTTGGTGCATGCTTGTAATACCAGCACCTGAAGATGGAGACAGGAGGATCAGAAGTTCAAAGTCATCCTTGGTAATTCTGCAAATTAGAGGCTGGCTTGGGCTGACCCTGTCTCAAAAGCAAAAGCAGAATCCCCCAAAACAAACAAAAAATGCTTACCTACTCAACAGAGATGGGAGTTTTAGTTTCTGTACACACATCAGCCCTCTCAGACTCTGTTACCTGCAGTAGTTGATGCCTTAGAAGAGGCTGTCACTCGCTGGGCTGTCTCCATCCCCAGGGTCTTTGGAAAGGCAGGTGAGGCATGCTGGCTTGCCCTCTCTTTCCCATCTGCAGGCCTTCATGCTCCCAACCATGCGTGTGCTGCTCACTGAGTCAGTGCTTGTCAGAGCCTAGTCACTTTCTCCTGTCGTGAGCTTCCTTAGTTTGGCAGTGTGTTTGGTGATACTGTGTGCTCACATGGCACATCATGCTGGTATCGTGGCCACCACCAGCTTCCGAGTTCTTGGGGTTTATGTGGGATTACTTAATTCTGCACCTCCCTTTGGAACAGGTGCTAATTATCTACTTTTGTTTTTGTCTCTCTGTGTAGCCCTGGCTGTCCTGGTGCTTACTATATAGACCAGGCTGGCCTTGAACTCACAGAAATCCTCCCGTCTCTGCTTCCCTGGATTATAAGCATGTGCCACCAAACCCACACAATAATTCACTTTTAAAGGGAGAAAACTTAGGCTCAGAGTAACTAAGTGATTAGCTCGTCACAGCTCACTTCTGCTGACATGTTTTGTCTTGCTTCCCACAGGAAAGAACATGTGTGCTAAAGTGGCAGGGCTTGTGCTGAAAGTCCTTTCAGATCTCCTTGGCCATGAAAACCATGAGGTACTCAGGCAGTGCTGCTTGCCCTGGGGTGGACTGGGGGACTGTAATGGTGACCTGGGTGCTTGTGACCTCAAGCCAAGGGGCTGGCTTTGGGCAGTTGCTGTATTTAACATAATATTCCTAACTGTATTTGAGGGTCCTCTGTGTGTGTGGGGGGGGTGTTTACATGTGTGTGAGTGAAGGTGTATGAGGGTGTTTACATGTGTGTGAGTGAAGGTGTATGAGGGTGTTTACGTGTGTGAGTGAAGGTGTGTGTGGGGGTGTTTACATGTGTGTGAGTGAAGGCGTGTGTGTGGGGGGGTGTTTACATGTGTGTGAGTGAAGGTGTGTGTGTGGGGTATTTACATGTGTGTGAGTGAAGGTGTGTGGGGGTGTATTTACATGTGTGTGAGTGCAGGTGTGTGTGGGGGGGTATTTACATGTGTGTGAGTGAAGGCGTATGAGGGTGTCCATGAAGGCCTAAATTTGATATCTCCTTGATTGCTCTTCACTTCATTTACGAAGGGAAGATCCACGAGATTGTGGAACCTGAGCTCTCCCATCCTGCCAGTCTGGCTAGCCAGCTTGCCCTGCAGATCCCCAGTCTCTGCCTCCCAAGTTCTGGGATTATTGACACCACCATACCTACCCAGGTTTTACATGGGTACTAGGGATTTGAACTCTGGTCATTTTGCCTATAGAGCAAGAGTCTTAACCACTGATAAGACTCCCCAACCCATTCTCTGGCCACTTAAGAAAACAGCTTTCCATCTTGCATAGTTTCAAACATTTCACACCTCACTTTCTCGTGCCCTACCTCTCTGATGTAGCCAGGTCCTTGCCCCACCTCCCATTCTGGTATCATCTATCACTTTCTGGGTTCTTTCCGTGATATTAGCACTCCCCCAGTCCCTCACTATTTAGTGTCTGACTGTGAACACGTGTGTCCTTAAAGTACCTCAGATGCTATGTTTGTGTGAGCTTAATTTGCATAAAAGATGTTTCAACCTAGAGCTCATCAGTTGATGACTGTCTCCTGGGGAACCTGTTTCTGTTCTACATGGCTCTCCTGTTCTAAGCCTCACTCCTGCAATACTCCCTGGCTTTCACCATGTGATGGTACATATCTTCTTCCTCATAGGCAGGCCTTAGATGGCTTCCAGCTCTGTTGCTACGGTTGTTCTCTGTGACAGCTCTATGCTTGTCCCGTGGGACCCCACACTGAGCTTACTTGGGTTATGTGGTCTTCATGGCTGCCAGCTCATCACAGCATATGTGATATAGGGCTCAGGTTGCCCTCCAGAATGACCCCATTGCCATGCAACTGGTGTTATTTTATGTTTTCTAGCCATTTTAAAATTGATAACAAGTTAACAAAATCATAGATACAGGTGATTCATCTCTCACTTGCTTTTTACAAATGTTTTTCCAAAAATAATGGAATCTCAGCCTGGCCATAACTCTCTACATAGCCCCAGCTGGCCTCAAGCTTGAGATTTCTCTTGCCTCAGCCTCCAGAATACTGGGATGATGGCAGCAGTTTACACCTACAGCTGAAGCCTCAACCAAAATGAGATGTATTTTGACACAGGGCATCTTTCAGCAGGCATTATTGGCAGGACCCTTGGGTCAAGAGGAGCACTAAGTTGCCACACACCCATTCCGTTCCAAGTGGGCAGCTCTTGTGTTCATTCCCCGCAGCCACATCACCTCACTGACACTGGCATCTTCAGCAGGTAGACATTAGGTAGCTGTTACAGTTCATGCTGGGCCTTTTGTATTTCAAAGCCAGCGAGTTTTTCACTCCTTCAATCCTGGCCCAATTGCTCTCTGAGACTCTTCTTCATTGTGTTCAACTCAGGCAGGTTGAGTACAGCAGTAATCACAGTCTTCCTGCGACTTAATGGAATGCAAATGAATTAGACCAAAGAGTCAGTTCTTGTCATCAGCTGTTGCCAGTGCGTTTGCTTAAGAGCAATAGAACCTGCCTTTAATCCCCAGTGCTACAAAAACCAGGCCTAGTGTCTGGTGCTCATAGGCCTAGGACTTAGGAGGCAGAGTCAGGAGAGTCAGAAGTTCAAGGTCATCATCAGCTCCATAGCAAGTCTGCTCAGAAAGAAACGGTACACAAATACATATGGATATTTTAGAAGTTGGAAGTATGCGGGCTGTAACAGACAAAGGTTGCCCTTGTGTGTCCTGCGTTAGATAGCCCTAGTCTTGAAAGATGAGACAGCAGGAGAAAGATGCTCGTATTTGTCTGCACATTGGTATTTTTGGAGTTATATAGAGAGAGGCGCTTAGCAAATTGAATAGGTAAGAAGGCTCAGCTGCATGGTAGCTGGATCACAGGGCAAGCTTCAGAACTGGGGTCTAGTTTAGAGACAGTGACATCTGAGCAAGGACAGTAGCAGCAGATGTGGGTGGGGAAGCAAGGGCTCTTAGTGATAATGACTCAGAGAGGAAATATCGAGAATAAATAGCAGAATCCACGTTGACTCCCAAGTTTCTGATCTGGGTGAGCAGGATGTTAGAAATTATGTTAAGCAGTGATGCACAACAGGAAGAAGGTCGAGAGGGAGTGGTGGATCTGGATTTGGACTCAGTTGCAGCTCTCACAAACAAATGGAGGTGTCTTATGTGAAATGCACATCCTGGATTCTGGAGACAGGGACACCAACTCTCCCCTTAGCCAGACTGGTCCTGAGTGTGGCATCTGGTCGTTGAGTAAATGACTGGTCTTTAGCCAGGTGTTGGTGGCGCACGCTTTTAATCCCAGCACTTGAGAGGCAGAGGCAGGCGGATCTCTGTGAGTTTGAGGCCAGCCTGGTCTACAGAGCGAGTTCCAGGACAGCCTCCAAAACAATACAGAGAAACCCTGTCTCGAAAAACCAACCAACCAAACAACAAATAAATAACTGCTCTTTTTTCTCCCCCTTAAAGATACAACCATATGTGAATGGAGCCCTGTACAGCATCCTTTCCATCCCATCCATTCGTGAAGAGGCCAGAGCTATGGTAAGAGGATGAACTGAGCTGGGCATAGCAGCTCACACTTGTAAACTCAGTTCTTGGGAGGGAGAGGCAGGAAGATCGCTGAAGTGGAGACCAGCCTGAGGTACATAGTGAGTCTGAGCCAGTGTTATCTCACATTAGTGTCTTCGTCTGTCTGTCTGTCTGTCTCTGTCTGTCTGACTCTCTCTCACACACACATACACACACACACAGATATACACTCTCTCTCTCTCTCTGTCTCTCACACACACATACAGACACAGATATACACTCTCTCTGTCTCTCTCTCTGTCTCTGTCTCTGTCTCTCTCTGTCTCTCTCTCACACACACACACACACACAGACACACACACACACACACACACACACGCACACACACACACACACAGCCCTGAACAGTTCAAAGACTCCTCCCAGCACCGTAAGTCACAGCTGTGGGGAGAAGGTTCCATCTGCTTCCTCCAGGGCAGGCCTTCACATAGCTTACAGATTCCTTGAAATTGTACATAACCTTTTTTTGGGGGGGGGGTTCTAAAGGGAGAATCTGTTGCTTTTATCAGAGTCTCACTAGGATCCCTACATTGTAAATGGTAAAGAGCTACAGTGGCCGGGCGGTGGTGGCGCACACCTTTACTCTCAGCACTCGGGAGGCAGAGGCAGGCGGATCTCTGTGAGTTCGAGGCCGGGCTGGACTGACAGCCTCCAAAACAATACAGAGAAACCCTGTCTCGTAAAAAAAAAAAAAAAAAAAAAAAAAAAAGAGCTACAGTGTTGGGAAAATTCTAGAAAGCTTCTTTTGCAATGTTGGAGGTATTTCTTGGCAGTTTATAAATCTGTTTTGCATCTCAATTGCAGGTAAATAGAGTTTTACTTACTTTGTTTACATTTGTGCTCATATTTGAAATACAACAACAACAGCTAGGTGATTAGTGTCTTATTTTGAAAGGACAGTTGTTTCTAAAGCTGTCCAGCAAAACCACTAATGCTTTTTCTTTGTGCTATATGAAACCAGAATAACTGTGTACATATTAAATTCTGTGGTGAAGGGATTAAATGTGTTTACATACTCAGAACACAGGAGACCACAAGAACATTCCATCCACTGGTTTTGTTGTTTTTAAGAGAATTACTAAATCTTCTAGTTGGTTTTCTAAAATAGTGTCAACAGTTAAAGAAGACATGATTCGTCTAAGAACCATCTTGTGAATACACCCAACAATGGAACTTAATTGCCTTCAGTATTAAAACTAACTAGTATTTAGGTGTGGCAAAATGGCTCAGTGGGTAAAGGCACCTGCCACCAAGCCTGACAACCAGAGTTCTACCCCAGAGCCTGAATGGTAGAAGATAATTAATTCCTGGGAGTTAACCTCTGACTTCTACATATACACTGTGGTACATGAGCATACTTGCATGTGCACATACAACACACACACACACACACACACACACACACACACACACACACACACACAATACACACAGAGTAGGTCTTCTCGGTGCTCTTTCCCGTACTGGGACAGGAGCTTCCTCCTACTTAACCCTCTCAGCAGTCCCTACAAGAACTGACTGCTGTGTCCATTTCCTTGCTGACTCTGGAGTGAACAGGCCAGGGGCGCCTGTTTCCTTTCAGAGCTTTCTACATCTGTGCTGCAATATCACACTAGAAATTAAACCTCTTTCCCTCCCTTCCTCCCTCTCTCCCTGTCCCCTTTCTCCGAAGTACCAAGGATGAGCCTGAGTGGCTTAGCAGCTAACAAAGCACCCTGCCACTAAAGCCAATCCCAGCACGGGTACGGTCTGCAGTCCAACGAGAGGCTCGGCATATTAGATTGTTTTCTCTCATTGTAGTACTGTCACCTGTGCAAAAATCTAGACTACAGGGGCCAGAGAAATGCCTCAGCAGTTAGGAGCACCTGCCACACTCTTCTTGAGGGTCTAAGTTCAGTTCCCATCCACACATTGGTCAGCTCGTACCCACCTGTAACTCCAGTGTCCTTCTGGCTTCTGAGGGCACCTGTACACATGTGGCTGGCACAAACTCATGCACACACTCACATGTGGCCATATACATAAAAGTTAAGTACTTAAAATGTAGGTGTTATCTTAAATGTGTACATGCAAGAATCAATGATGAGCATATTCAATAACAAAGTACGACTAATTTAAAAAGTACAGAATCTGAGATGCTCAAAAAGTCACAGACATGAAGCCACAGGTGGAAAGTTCTCACTATGAAACTGTTTCGTTCACAAAACTATTAAAGATATTATATAGCCAAATAAGGTAGTGAGTGTATGGTCCTGGCATTTAGCAGACAAAAGCAGGAGGATCATGAGACAGTCTCAAAAGTAGCAACAGATACTGTGTGTGTGTGTGTGTGTGTAATATTGTATTCTATGTAAAATTATCTTGAGGCTGCATATAAAAGGTATGTGAAACTGTGAGACATAAATGAATTTTCATTAGACCTGGGTTCCACACCTAAGATATCTCTTATTACGTATATGCAGATATTCCAAATCTATAAAGTCCAAACCTACCACAGTAGACTCAGCCTTCATTTTCACTATTTTCTCTAATGACAGCTAAGTTCCTTAGTTCTTTCTCCTTGGCACACTGTATGCTCTGAGACATCTAAGTGGTTAGTGATAAGCCCCTATTATCTTTCCCACCTTATTTGTGCAAGTTTATCTGAAGTGCCAGGTCGTTGCTTTTAAAATGAAATACCAGGTTTTGTTGTTTATTTTTGTGGGCAGGGTCTCACTCTAGCCCAGGGAGGGCTGGAACCCTTGGTCCTCCTGCCTTGACCTCCTGAATGCTAGGATTACAGGCGTGTGCCACCGCACCCAGCAGAATACTGTTATTTTTTATACCTATTCATTACTATAATTTAGATTAAACATTACCTACTATATGTGGTTTTAAAAAAAATACGTGAAACTTTTCATTGGAGTGTTTGCTGTGAAGAAAGTGTTCAAACAATCCTCCTGACTACAGACGGACTGAGCTGTTTGTTTTCCACGTGCTAACTAAGCCGGAGATGTGAGAACAAGAGTCAACTAGACTAAAACGATCTATAAAGATATGGGCAGATAATCCTCACAGAAGTTGCCTCTGGGAGAAAAGAGCTTGAATGAGTTCTTTGTTTCCAGCTATTCCTAAGCTGCTCAGGAACCATTGTGGTCATTGGCATGTTGAGGTTGAGCTCAGACCGTCTCCTAATAACAGCTCACCCTTGTGGGGATGGAAGTGGGAAAGAGTCCACTGGTGAGACAGAGATGGAAAGTCTCGCTCTTCTGGAAGCCAAGAACTAAAGCAGACTGTGGTGGGTGACTATAGGTCAAGCCCAGATAGCTGACTGGCCCACGGAGTTGACAGTGTCTCAGTCCTGTGTGGAACGCTGTCCTTGCCTCCGGGATAGCCGTCAGTCGTTCACCTCTTGCAGACTATTTCTTCAAGGTCTACTGTCTCTAGGCTTCTTGTCCCTGCCTCTCGTGGAGTGTCATTGTCCTCTAAGATTCTGGCCAGCGCTCGAATCTTCTCACTCCACCCACTGGGGCACCTCATTTACTCCAGGCTTCAGCTGCACTCTCATCTGAGCCACAAGTCCCTCCTCGACCCAGCAGGTGCCATTTTACCACTCACTAGCACCCCCTTGTGCCATCCACTGGACTAGACACCATTTATTAGGTATAATTTGCAAAAGTGAAGTGCTCAGGTCTTATATACAGTTACATACAGACCTTACATTTTGAGAGACACAGACATCTACATAAGTAGTACCAATGACATGTCTTGTCTTTGGGAGAAGTTGAGCGATTGAGTAAGGTAGAAATGGGACCTGACTCAGGGAGCTAAGATTGTGTTCCAAACACCTGGGATCAATGGAATATCTTTGATTTTGTTAGAGCTAGCCATCAGGCCAGGCTGTATTCTCTTTTTAAATAATCTAGTCTAGAAGCACTAGCTCTACGAGGATCTTCGTGAGATTGAGATTAGCCTGGCCCATTTATATAGTGAGTTCCAGGCCAGCCTGGACTGCATAGTAAGATCTTGTCTCCAAAATAAATAAATGAATAAATAAACAAGTTAATCAATTAGTTAAATTGAAAAAATAAAATAAGGACCATATTGGGTCATATCACCACAAATTCAGGGGCAAGTGTTGGGCACTTTGACGAGCGTTTGCCTGCCAGTGAGCCAGCCTTTCTGGGTGCTAGTAGCTGCGTTTTGGGCTCATTCTTAGACCCACTTCTCCTCTTGGTGCCAAGAAAACACCTTGCTTGGTTCAGCACAGCACATGCACACATTCCAGTGCTCAGGGGAGGAGGAGGGAGAGGGAGAGTCCTCTGCCTGATCTAGTATCTTGTCTCCAAGTTTGCCTTAGTTCTTTTAGCTAGAGTGGGAAATTCTAGTGTCATTGTGTTTGAGTGGCACAGTATAGTAGCTCTGTAATTTTGTATGGTTTTTCTTTTAGTTTTATGTATATGGGTGTTTCACCTGCATGAATGTGTGTACACTTGCAGGCTTGGTGCCCAAGGACGCCAGAAGAAGGTATCAGATCCCCTGGAGCTATAGTCATAGACAGTTGTGAGCTGCCATGTGGTACTGACAGTCAAACCTGGGTTTTCTGTAAGATCAATAAGCACTCTTAACTGCCTAGCCATCTCTCCAGCCCTGTCTCTTAAAAACCAAAAATGTAGTTAATTTATGTGGAAGGTGGGGCAGCATGAGCACATAGAAAACCAGTGGACAACTTTCCATGCGTTGATCCTCCTTCTCGCTCTGCATTGAGGCAGTGTCTGTCTTGTTTCTGCCGCTGCCCTTCATACTCCAGCCTGATTTACCTGTTGTCTCACGTAGGAGTGCGGGGTTTACAGTTGTGCACTGCCACATCTGGCCTTTCAAAAGGACCCCAGGGCTTGTACTCAGGCTTGTGTGACCAGTGCTTTGACCTGGCCCCTCTATCATTCTTTTGATAGACTGGGAATTACAGTTGTTTGAAAAGCCTCTCTTTGTTTAAAGCATGTGGTTCAGCTTTTCAAAGATTATAAATGACCCTAAAATTCAGAAAAGAGTGTATATAAGCTAAGGGGAAAAATGGGAAAGAAGTCACCTCTCAGATTATGTGTTTGTCAAACTAAAGGCAGCAGTGTACATGTGCCACAGGTGCTGGGGCACAGGCATACTGTTCAAGCTCACGATCTTTTCAGTTTTTCCTCAGTATGTTATAATATTATCATTAAATTGGGATAATCAACCAATAAGAACACAATTTCACTGTAAATTTTAAAATGGATGTTTTGTACCAAGCAGATGATCTTTATCCCCAAAAGAAGAAAAAAATGCCTTTTGGATTAGATAAAATGACCCCACTGAAAAGTAGTTCTCACCATATCAACACTGAGATGTTTGCTGTCTCTGCACTGTTCCTAGGGAATGGAGGATATCCTGCGATGCTTCATCAAAGAAGGCAGCGCCGAGATGACCCGCCAGATCGAGTTCATCATCAAGCAGCTGAACTCCGGTCAGTGTTGTGGGATCTCTGTCCTATATGATGTCATTCAGGAGGCTTCTGAGTCAGATACAGTGTGCACACCTGTAATCCCAGCACTAGAGAAGCTGAGGCAGGAGGATTATAATGAGTTCAAGGTCAGCCTGGGCTACGTAAAACATTTAAGGCCACCCTAGAATAGCAAGACTCCATCTCAAAACATTAAAAACAAGCAAAATAGAAGCTTTTAAAGGAAGTAGAGGGGCCAAGTTCAACACATGAAAGTTCAATAGGACAGTTCCAGCTCAACCTACCTAAGGCCCTGGGTTCCATATGTAGTGTCTCTCTGTCACACACACTCACACCCCACAATGGGAGATAGCACTATCACTGAAGTGCTTGCTGTGCAAGTATAAGGACCTGAGTTTGAACACTAGCACCCATGTAAGAAAAGCCAGTCATAATGACAGGCACTTGTAATCCCAGAACTGGAGAGTTGGAAACAGGCAGATCATTGAGGCTCATTGGCCAGTCAGCCTTGCCTAGACCCCAGAGAGAGACACTGTCTCAACAAGCAAAATGGACAGCTCCAATGGAATGACATGCAGGGTTGAACCCTGCCCCTGCATTCACGCACATACATATGTGTATGTACACCCTTCCCCACAAGTTTAGCAAGGTAGTCAAGGCCAGATTATCCATATTAACATCTCTTATCACACTAGAGGTGTATGGTCAACAAAAAGGAGGTGAGAACAATTCCTGAGACCTTCTCATCCTTTGTAAGACCTCTTTACGAGCCCCTCCTGTCCCCTCTTAAAACCTATCCCACTGATAAGGGCAACTTTCCCAGGTCCCATGGCCAGTTAGTGAAACAGATGCCAGTCTTTCTAGAACGATGTAAAAAATGTCACCATGTCACCATTCCAGAAAAGTATGCAGGTGCCACCTGGCAGCATGGAGAAGGCAGCAAGGTCCCCTTCTTCCCAGCCCCCTCCATTGCCATGACACACATCTGGCAAGAGAACAGAGAAGCCTAGTGTGAGGGGTAGCGAAGCCCCTTGCTCTTTCTGTGGACTCTGGACTCAGGGGGCCTTGATGCTACCAACATCTGAGGACCAAGTTTATCACCCATCTCTCACCATGCCTTCCCCGGCACCAGCAATACAAGCACACAGTTCCATTCAGCACACACCAAAAGGTGGAATGTCCCCCTCTCCTCACAACCCAGTGCACCAGGGAAACGCCCACTGGTGGCCATCTTCCACTCACGGCTCCAAGTCTGGGCTGCATCTATACTAATGAAATTGTAGTCCTGGGGACAGGGGAGCTTTGAAATTCTCAGGTTGTCCCAGCAAAGTGGAGCTCTGGTGAAGCGTAAAGGAAAATTTCAGCCTGGGCCAGAAACATGCAGAATATGTAGCCAACAAGAGTAGGGAGGTTTGTCTGCCACCCTCCCACCCACCCCACCCCCAGGCTCAGGCCTAGGCTACAACTCCAGCCATCTATGAGGGTAGCCAGCAGACAGATGCTAGCTTGTCACAGAGAAAGGTTAGAGACACCAGGCAGGGCAGGACCCCAGCCTACTGAATGGGCCGCCATGTTCAGGACAAGCCCTCCCACTCAGTTACTGTCTTAACTACCATCAGCTCAGTGTCCTGGGTTAGTTACTCTTTGTGGATGTGGTGAGACACCTGCTGGAGGGGCACCTCGGCGGGTTCCATGGCAGGTGAGGGTGACTGAGATGGGGACAAACACGCCAGGCAGACAGAGCTTAGTGGGAAGTTTTATTAGAAAGGGAAAGCGGGGGAAGGAAAGAGAAAAGAGGTAAAGAGACACGGAGAGGACAGAAGAGGAGAGGGAGACAGGAAACTCCTGTGTGCCCCAGGGGAACAGCAGGAAAGAGTGGGAAAGAGTGTAAGTGGGCGGGTCTTCCTTTTAAAGGGTCCTTTGTACCTGCATGCTGACCAGGGTACTGCCTGTGTGAATTCTGCCAGGTGACAGGAGCAGACCATCATAATGCCTGATCCTTACAAGGGGTCTCTTAGCTCGAAGTTGAAGGACCAGTCCTGTGAATTTGAGGGAGCATTGCATCTGCAGTCAGGAATGCTGAGATTACAGAGAGGGGAATGCTGGTGCTCAGCCCACTTTCTCTTTTTCTTTCTTTTTGTTTTTTTGTTGTTGTTTTTGCTTTTTGAGATAGGATTTCTCTGTGTAAGAGCCCTAGCTACCCGATCTGTAGACCAGGCTGGCCTTGAACTCACAGAGATCCAACAGAGCGCCACCTGCCTCTGCCTTCCAAGTGCTGGAATTAAAGATGTGCACATCACACCTGGCTCACTTTCTCTGTTTCATTCAGAAATTTAGCCTGTGAAATAAGAGTGCCCACATTTAAAGGGTATCTTCCTACCCAGTTATCCCAATCCAGGAACCTGCCCAGAAGTTTGTTTCCATGGTGATTCTAAATCTCACCTAGGTGGCAGTCAAGATGAACCATCAGTCTTCAAAGCCACATCCAGAAGTGAGCTTCACTAATCTCCTAAGCATCTCTTGGTTCAGTTGATTGAGCGATTAACCCTCATAGGGGGCTTCCTGGCAAGTCAGTAGCCACCCATCCCATCCATCCACAAGGAGCTGGGCTCTTCCACAAAGGAGACTGCTATTGGGAGTCTAGATGCAATGCTGACAGAGAGATGATGGCTTGTTGAAGGCTACTTGGAGGAGAAAGTAACTCATATTTGGGCGTTGTCTGCTATGTACCTGGTCCAGGTCCCTTAGTTCTGGTGTGCTGTAAAATCCTCCCAGCTCTCCCCTTCCCTCCTATCCCAGGGTCTGAGGAAGTAAACAGTAAGATCTTCATTTGCCAGGTGAGGAAATGGCTCATTGTCTGGTTCCTAGTACCGTGGACTTGTTCATCTGCGTATACTCCAATGATTAAATGATGAGCCTCAGCATTTGAGAACTTAGATGCTGCCAACACCCGCCCTCACCCTGTGGGAAAGTCATGGGTGCTATATCATAGACTTGCCCTTTAGGCTTGTCTGCTCTAAGAGAACAGATGAAGCAGCTTGGAAGAAATCAGACTATGTCCTCCAACCCCCAACAAAGAACTGCCAGACCCCTGCTCTGACTGTTCAGAGCTCACAGCCTTGGTAGGAAAGGCAAGCCCAGTCCCACTCCCTTGCAGCTGCATGATAAATTTATGCTTCTATCTGGTGCTAATGCCTGCCCCTGTTCTCCTTCGTTTGTAGGTTAGGCCATAAGTTACATGGTGTGGAACTTCCTGCCACTACCCCACCCCACCCCACCCCACCCCACCCCAGAAGCTCTGAACCAGAAACCCTCCCTGTTCATGGGATTTTAAAAGTTCTTTCATTCAGGCCTGATCATGCTAACATGGTAGCAGTCTCTCGTGATGCATCTCCTCCCCAGTTTTGAAGGGAGGACTCTCTCCTCTCTCCCGTCAAGACCCCATCATGGCATCTCTAGTATAAGCAATAGCTCTCCTAATCTCTTCAAGGCCTGGTCATGGCCTCTTATGGTCAGTCTGTCTCTGTGTCTCTCTCTCTGTATCCCCCCCCCCAGCCCCCATAAGGTCATCTGAAGGGTGACCTCCTGTTAGCTCCTTTCCCAAACCTACTCTTCAAGTTAAAGTAGAAGGGCTTAAGAAGTGGAACCAGAAACTAGTCCCTGGTTCCTCTGTACCTCGACATGTTGCCTGTGCGTGAGATCTGATGACCAGCAAAGCTGTCATGAAGATTAAATGACATAGCACCTGTTGCAGAGGCTAGAGGGCTTCCGGGAGTAAACACTAGTTCATTTTCCTGCGATGCAATTCTCTCCAGCTTTGTGTTCATAAGAATAAGAATAAATATGTTCTGATCAAAACAGTGTGATTGGGGTTGCTAAGACTGACATGACAGTACACTGGTTGAAACACTTGTTGGGATGGCCCAGAGAGTACGGGGTGTAATGGTGAGTGGTCAGGAGGGTGAAGGGTGGCGAGCAGGAGCTCTCTCAGAGCTGCCAGGGTGTGGGCCTGACTGTGCTGGCTGACGCTCAGGGACCAAGGGCCAAGCCTTGTGGTCTTTCTGATTGGTTTTTCTTTATAGAAGACTTACTGGATGGTGTTCTTGAATCCGATGATGATGAAGATGAAGACGATGAAGTAAGTTGAAGGCTCTTGATACAACACAGAAATCTCTCTTACTCACAACCCTGTATGCCCCTTCTGTGTCCTGAACACTTAGACACACGTGGTGTCTTCTTTACTCTGCCTTTCCTTACATTTCTGGGTTAGTAGAGACTTGGTGTGCAGTCCTTCCATAGCCCTCACACAAGGCCTCATGTGGCTCCTTCGTCCTCCACAACCTCTCTCCAGGCGGCTGGCATCTTCAGTGCTCCAGCCTGGACTTTGTATAGGTCGGAAGCTAAGCTCCCAGAGGGAAGGAGCAAAAGTTTCCCATCCTCTCTGGGCTTCCAAGTCTCAGGAAAATAATACTCCTGCAGCATTTGACTCAATTTACATCTAAGCCCAGTCCAGACTGGGGCGTGGACATGGACCGCATGACACCTGTACACTTCACAGATGCAGATTGCACCTCCTCTAGCTTCTAGGGGCAGGTGAAAACCCATAGTTCTTCTCTGAGGTTTTTGCTCTGAAAGGCTGCCTTTGCCTGTCTCCTTGGTGACAGGAATGAGGGTACATAGGCTTATGATGAGATGTTCTGGACAAGGGGTCCTGTCTGGTTTGAAACTGGCAGAACCAACCACTTTACCACCCTGTTTTCATTATTTTGGTGTAGGTTTGCCAGCTGTGACAAATCTGCGCCCCCCCCCCCATCTTCAGAAGTTAGTACACAGAGTCTTGGTGAGGTAAGGTAGGACAGTAACTTGGAGGCTGCAGGCGGCAGCTAAGATGATAAGCTTCTATGTGGCTTTCCCTTCAGACCTAGGAAGGACAGGCATGTTACCCTATCATTCTTGTGGTGACAACATGGCCTTTCTTTGTTCTGTGTGTGAGGAGCAAGCGGTTAGGGCAGATGTGAATACTGGGAGAATCATCCCTTTGGGGAGCATCCACCCATGGATGCAAGAAGATGGATTTGTAGTTGTGGTTCTGCTCTGTCAGTTTAGAAAGTGTTTGGTAAAAGCCATGTTTGTTTTCCCCAGAGGCATCAGTGAGGCCATCATTATTTAGGATATGCAGGTAGCTAACTTCCCCTACAGCCAAGTTCCCTACCTGCCATTCCCTTTCTGAGCTGCAGGTGGCACCAGTGGGCACTCTTGCTTCTCCTGCCTGATGGGTCAAGGGGGCTCCAGATCTAGCCACTGTCCTCTCCATAAGGGACAGAGAGCAGCCCTGTGCCACAAGGAAAGCTGCTGTGGTAAAACTTGGCTTAGCACAGTCAGCAGACTTTGTGTAAAGGGGAAGGTTGGCAGTGTGACAGTCTGGGAGGGCCACATGGTCTCAGTTTGAACCACTCAGTTCTGCCCTTTAACACACAGTGGCTATGGGGAAAGCAGGCTGTATTCCCCGAAAACTAAAAGTTAGAAGCACCCCCTTTGTGCTTGACATTTAATAGCTCTGAGTTAATCATTTCATTGTATTAACTTTTGGATTTTTTGTTGTTGCTGTTGTTGATGGTTTGTTTTATACTGTGTGGGGACCGGGGTCTTGGCTTCCCAAGTGCTAGAACAGTAGCCGTGCCTGGCTTGTCCAGTTGTCGTGCCACTGCTCTTTCACTTTTCTGCTGTAGCAGGGTTCATTTGGTCCACGTGTGCTGGTTACTATGAGGATTTGACTTGTGCGCATTTCCCTTTGGCAGTGCGGCAGCCAGCTACAGAGCACATGACCCGGGCCTCGGGGTTTGCTGCTTCTCCTCAGGGTTTTGTTTTCAGCGTCGTCTTAGTCAGGCCTTATGATGCCGTACAAACTGCATTCAAGCACAGCCTGTGAAGGAGAGGGCTCTGGCTTATGCTTCCACCTCACAGCACATGATCCAGGGTGTCAGGGGAGGAACTCTAAGCAGGATCCAAGAGGCAGGACCTGAGGCAGAGGCCATGGAGGAATGCTGCTTATTGGCTTGATCCTCGTGGCTTGCTCAGTTTTTTTTGACTTGGTTTGGTTTGGTTATTTTGTTTGTTTGTTTGTTTCTTGTTGTTTTGAGACAGGGTTTCTCTGTGTAACAATCCTGGCTGTCCTAGAACTTGCTTTGTAGACCAGGCTGGCCTCAAACTCATAGAGATCCACCTGCCTCTGCCTCCCGAGTATTGGAATTAAAGACTGCGCCACCACTGCTTTATATACTCTGGGACCACATGCCCAGAGACAGCACCACTCACATTGGGCTAGACCCTTCCACATTAGTCATCAACCAAAAAAAACAAAAACAAAAAACAAATGTGCTGCACACTTGCCTACAGACCAATCCGATGGACACATCTCCCTTGAGGTTCCTCTTTTCAGATCACTCCACTTTGTGTCAGGTTGACAAAAAACCAACCAGGGCTGAGGGTGGTGTTTGAAAACATTTGTCACAGTAGCTAGGCTTCTCAGAAATTTAATAAAAGAGGTTTTACAAGAAAAATGAAAGAACGAGGCCAAAAGTGACACTGATGACTGGAGCCAGCATGCCCTGGGCGTCCTCAGTGACCCTCGGGAGCCACCTGTGGACAGTCTGCTGCATCTGTTTTCACCGAGGCGAGGTATTACTTTCATAACTTAATTAAAATTGGCAGAGAGCAAAAAAGAGTGACAAATGTTTAAGTTAGAGGACAGTGTCAAGAAGTGCTTGAATGGCAGTGTTATTGTCACCTTCCAGTGATAACCCTGAAGAAGACAGAAGTATCACTAATGCACAGAATCAAACCTCTCTTACTTTGTAATGCAGAGAGTTTTTTAATTTGATATTTGGAGCCAATACAATGGCTGAAGTCACTTGCACTGTCCTTAGGCAACTGCGTAGTGACATGGCTCTGTAGAGTGACCCGGGCACCACATGAATTATGCTGGCCTTGCTTTACACTGAGCTGAGATCTGTGTGTGCAGCATTCTGCCTCACTGCAAGTCCTTAAGGGGACTCAGACGCAAAATCTAGTTTTCCTTCCACAGATCTCAAAGTGTAACTGTATGTAATGTGTAAGAAACTCAATTATGTTGAGTGTCCACCCATTTATAACTAAAAATTAGAAATTACAGATCATCTAGGGAACACAACATGAAGGCAAACATAGCATAACTCTCAGGAAGGAAGCTGAGCCAGGAGGATGTTAAATTCAAAGCCAACATGGGCTACACAGCAATACCTTGTCTCAAAAAAAATCATAAAGTTAATGTGAACAGTGCTTAAAACAAAGCAAACATATAAATTTGCAGGCCTAAGAGTTATAGATATACTCATGTGCCCATGCAGCAGAAAGGTGTGGGAAGCCACACCCTTTTTATTGACGTGAGGCGGAAGAGGAATGAGGAAGTGTGGGTGGGAGGCTGAGAGAGGGCTGACCACCAGGGCCCCTGACTGCAGGCTGTCGGCAAGGGAGAAGTAAGAACAGCACAGTGATGTGGAGGGCTGAAGTTATCTGTCCCGTTTACACTGCAGTAAACTGCAGAGCATGCGGGGACAGGAAACGGCAATACTCGGTGTGCTCCCCTCTTCACATGGGCACATGCGGAACAAGGAAAGACGAAGGGCCAGTTTGGTTTGGTTTAGAATGAGGAAAACACTAAGCATTTCCATCCACGGCTGCTGGCAGATATGAGACTGGATGGTCAAGATAGGGAAAGGAGGGCCTCAAAGGAGAATGTTCTCATTGTCTCCCCCCACTCCCCAGATGGCCTCGAACTCACAGAGATCCGCCTGCCTCTGCCTCCTGAGTGCTGGGAATAAAGGCGTGTGCCGCCACTGCCCAGCTCTCATTATCTTCTGACTTGCTTCAAGGGGGCTGGACGTGTAGATCAGTTGATATGTTTGCCTAACATGCACCGAGTGCTGGGTTCAATCCTCAGCACCACAGATGCATGCTTGGTGATGTGCACCTGGAATCCCAGCACTCAGGCTGTAGAAGCAGCAGATGAGATGTTCAAGGTCATCCTCCTTGACAACATAGGAAATTTAATGGTGGCTTGGGGTACATGAAACCCTGTCTCAAATGAAAGAGAAAGATAGGGGGGTAATAAATAACTTGTTTCTTACAGTCATTTGGTCCATAAGGTTCCAGACCCATTTAAATCCTCAGAAAAATAAAACAGCCTTATATAAGTTTTGGAAATGCATTGGAGAGAATTCGCAGTGCCAGTCAGTGGCTAGGCAAGGGTTCGGATGCCCCATCGAGTGCTTGGAAGAACACTGTTATCTCATGTGCTTTGTTTTTATAATTAACATGAGCATGGTGTTGCTCAAGGGCTGGAAAAAATCCAGTGACCTCACCCACCCCAAGGAGGTTTCCTTGGTGTGTGCTCAGATGAGGCTGGTGCGTCAGCTTACACATGGCTTCCTGTACTATTTGAGAAGACTGATTTTAAAACAAATATTCTCTCCCTCTTAGCAAAGTAGGTTTTAGTGCCAGGAGCAGTCAGCCATGTACATTTGCTTGTAGGATCCATGTAAGTGACACAGTTTCCTTCCGTCCTATCTGTCCTTCATTATGTACCAAACAAATATTTAAGGACCTTGAAGTAACCATGTTCTAGGAAATACGGAAGGGATTAAAAAAAGTTCCATGAGACTCTCTGTGACTCTCAGTGCCTCCACAGGGGAGATGGGGATGTCCTGTGCGACATCACCATGGCCGCTTTGCTGCCACTTCACCGGTGTTCCATTCTGCCCTGGGGTTGCTGCTGCTCCATCTCACAGCTGAGCAGACACAGGAAGCCCGTCACTCACCAAGTGCATGAAGCTAGTGCATGAGCAGTGTGCAGCTGGGGTTCATGTGGTGTGGGGCAGCAAAGCACGCCCTGAGCTGCAACCCTGGCAGTAGACACTGGCAGACACAAGATGGGCAGCAGATAGAAGAAATGAACAAGCGATTGTAGATCCATAAAGGGGAAGGAAATGGAAAGTGCTCTGCTGGGGGGGGGGGCATTCTAAAATCCAAAGACAGGCTGGGTCAAGAAAAGCCTAGGATGGAGAGGAAGTGCAGCGGGCTGAAAGAAGGCACACAGCAGGG